AAGCTGGTTACGCAGGCTCCTGGGGAAACCGTAGGCGGAGCCCGCCGAAATGGGCGCGGCCCGCGCGAGGGGCGCGACGGGAAATGGGCGCGCCGCCGCCCGCCACAGCCGCGCGCGGACCCTCCCGCGGGGGCGCGAGGTAAAAGGAAAAATCGCGACGGGCTGCGCCGCATAGGGGCGGGGCCCGCCGAGCCTCCCCGTTGTGGCCCGGCGCGATCCCCGCACGGCCCCGTCCTCCTCCAGTCGGGGTCTTGAAGAAGGAACCCTTTTCGTTGGGGAGGGGCTCCGTGTTCCTTCATTGTTTCACAGTTCGCCCCAGGTTTTCTTCAAAGTTTCGATGGGAAGTCAAAGTTAAACTTATGGAAAAAAAGAGGCCTCGTTCCCTATTTAGAGTTCCTCAGGTCAAGGCCCCGACTGTACCCTCGTTCCTCCTCCGCTTCGTCGCCCCTCCTTCCGCCCGCCAATTTCGTGCGTCAAGCGGTTGGCTCGCCACCGCGCGCCCTCGCGCACTCGCATTCCGATATGCTGTAGTGCCCCCCCCGATGTACTTACACTCGAGGGCCCATGGCTTCTGCGGTGGCCGATGCAACAAAAAAAACTGAAGTCGACGATGCATTGTTTAGATGAAAATTGAAAAAAGAAGGAGAACAACAAATAAGTAGGTTGATTATCCTCCAGTCCGCACCTTGGTTGTCGTTGACAAAACTGCAGAGAGATTGCTAAAGAGTTCGGGGCCGCTGGGTTCGAATCAGACATGCGCAGGGTGTTGAATCAAGAGCTGAATGTAAACACCACCTTCGGCGAACTGATGCAAACAATAAAGATCGATCATGCCAGCGGCAAACGACGTCCAGCTTTATGTTGCAATCCACTGGGATTGGTTTATGTGTTGTGTTCAAAAGAGCGTTTTGCTGAATTGTTCGAGACGTGCTGCAACGGCACATTCTCCGTCATTATTTACACGGATAAGGTGCAGGTTGCCAACCCGCTGCATCACGATCGCAGCATGAAGCTGCAAGCTGTGCATATAAGCGCCACCGCGAAACCCGACAGCTCCCCAAGAGAAAACACGCCACGCGCTGGCAGCGCGAAGCCCCCGAAGAGACTCCACGCGACGACCCCGCGGAGCCCGCGGCGGCTTGAAGATGCGCGTTTCCGCGCGGGAGAGCCTCGCTCCCGGGGCGGCGGATAGGACTGTCAGGGAGCTCCCGCGGTGGCTGAGGCCGCGCGATAAGGGGCTGGCGGGCATTATGTTTCTTCCCCTTTGAACTCCAAGAAAAAGTCGAGGCTGGCCTTACAGGTCTCGTGAAGCAACTTCTCAAACATACGTTTTCCAATTCAAACGATTGCAATCTCACCGCTGGGATCCAACTGCCCAACGCGCAGGGCGGGCGCACATATTCCACTGGGAGGTTCTGTTGTGTGATACAAGATGAAGAAACGCACGACAAGCATTGGTCGGTGAAGGGCGCTTCCGGGTGCAAGGCCTGCATTTGCTGGAGGAGCGTGGCTCGGACGCCCGGATGCACACAAGCAGGTTCTGCTTACGCCAAGCGTCTCCAGGACGCTTTTCCACGCGATGTCGATCTGCACACGCCTGAGACTGTCGCGCGCATGGTTGACGACCTCGAACGCAGTTGCCCGCTGTTGGCCCCGGGGCGATTCAAAGAAAAGGGAACAGCGAGCGGCGTGGCCTATCAACCCCAGTCCATGTTGCACGACGCTCTTCTCAGGCGGCACCTGAACCCGGTGAAGCACGCCTACTGGGATTGGATGCGTTGTTTGGTGGCATTGGGGATGGGGACATGCCAATGGGAGGTCAACGCTGCCTGCGTGAAGCTTGAATGCGAGCCCCACTGTGTAGATTTGGAGTCTCTGGACATATTTCAACAATCGACCCAGTGGCCCGATGGAAACCTGCCCGACGTTTGATTCAGGATCGCGTTTATCTTGATGGAGGGTGTCTCAAGGCATGGGCCGGCGAAACGATCTTCGCCCTGCAAGCGTTAGTCAAGTTCGCCGAACTCGTGGCAGTTCCGAATGCAGTTTTGATGGAGAAGACCCGCTGCTTGAGGCTGATATCCAAAGTGCTGGACATGCTGCCCACCCCCGACTCGGCCCTCCAACGCATCAGGGAAGTGGAAACCACCCTGACTGACCACCACTAGCTCACCTTGCAACTGTACGGGGTAGAGCCGGTCAAACCCAAGCAGCGCTACACGCACCACATCCCTCGTAACCTCGAAGCCGTGGGCGACGTTCTAAGTTGCTTTTCCGCCGAACGTAAACACACAAGTTTGCAGGGGCCATCGGGCAACACTCGGACGGCCAACATTGGGAATGCCAGGTCATGCAGAAGGCAGGTCTTGGACGTCCTCGCGCGGTTCGATGGCGAGTTGGAGCCTGAATGGCTGGCGGGCCCCGTGGTTCATGATGTCCACTGTGGTTACTTAGCAGTACAGGCGCACAACATCAGTCACATCGCATCATCCCAATCATCCACTAAGATGGTGACTGCAATAGGGAAGCTGAGTACGAACATGTATACATTGGTATCAGCTCCTCGCGGGCATCGCGCGGGGAAATTTGTTCAATCCGTTTGCGGATGTCCCATGTTACCTGGGGAGAAAATGTATTGCGTTGTGTGGGTCCCGCCCATATCGGGCCCGGGTGGCCCCTGGGCTTAGTGGGCCCTGGAAACGACAGGGCCGTTTTTTTACCTGTTCCGTTTTGCTGTTTTTTTGCTGGTTCCGACGCCGTTGTTTTACCGGTTCCGTCGCCGTTGTTTGGCCGGTTCCGGCTCCGGTTCCAATCCTAGAGCCGTTTTCTTGCCGTTTCCGCTCGCCGTTTTTGTTGCCGTTTCCATGTTCAAGGGACATTTTCCTGGAAACGGTGAAAAAACGCCCCTGCCGTTTCTGGGGCCCACGAAGCCCCTGGGCCCCATGCACCCTTGGAAACTGTTGCAGCGCCACGCGCGATGTGGCGAGAGCCATCGCCGTTGCCCGATATCGCGATGGGGGTCAACCCGAGCTTGCCGCAGCTTCCAGGCGCCCAATTGCACCTCGACCGCTGTAGCACGCAAGACATGACCTCGCCTCCACGGCCTCCACGGCCTCCGCCTCCTCCTCCTCCTCCTCCTCGTCCCCAATCCTCCTCCGCATCATCCGTGCTCGTCTGTTTGGGAGTTGGCTCGCCACTCCGCCACCTCGTCCTCATCTGCCTCCGCCTCATCCGTGCTCCATGCGTTTGGGAGTTGGCTCGCCACTCCGACACCTCCTCCTGCTCCTCATCCCCCTCCTTCGCCTCACCCATGCCCGCGCGTCTGGGAAATGGCTCGCCACTCCGCTTCCCTTTCCTCTCCCGCCTCCTCTGTTCGCCACTCCGCCCCCCTCCGGGGAGGGGGGGGGATGGGGGGGGTGAAAGGGGAAGGCCAAAAGCAATCAGGGTGAAGGGAGGCGGAGGGGACATGCGAGCATGGGGGGCAAACGCACGGTGACGCCTCCTCCGATAGCCATTCGGGCTCAAGCAGATGGCGACTCCCCCGAAACACCTGCCGCCCCGCGACAATGTGGAGGCACATTACCACATCCAATTTTAGACGTGCAGCGGTGGAGCTCTGACCAGCGAGGACAGGCAGCTCATATTGCGAGAAACTGGTTGCACAACTACGACCAGGGACCGCCGCGACGGCAAGGGCCTTATCTTCACCCTGAAAGGGCCTCAGAAGATGCAGAGGCAAGCGCACGATCTCGCCAACCAGCTCATAGAAGCGAACGGTCTGGACGGGGGCAGGCGCATTCGTCTTGGGCTCATCCACAGCATCATCAGCACCCGGATATCCAGCCGGACATTCGGCGGCACCCCTCACGCAGATCGGCAGGGTCAGGGTCCAAAAACACAGGGGATTTGCCACATGTCTGACATTCGGCGGCACCCCTCACGCTGATCCGCAGGGTCAGGGTCCAAAAACACAAGGGGCTTGCCACATTTCTGAAATTCGGTGGCACTCGTGACGCAGATCCGTAGGGTCAGGGTCGAAAAACAAACAGGTTCCGACACTGCTTCACGGCGGCGCCCAGACCTCAAGATTTAGCTTTTGCATCTCCCATTCTCCGAGAGAGGGGGCCGGCGGCAGGAGGCGAAGCCCCTGCGGATGAGCTGAGCATAAGAGCCAAGCGGCCCCGCTCAGGGAAGTACACCATCATGGGGCCCAGGATGGCACTGGCCTGGCACGGTGGAAGTGTATAGATGTGTTCGTCGGATTCCGCCCAGGAGGATCAGCGGAAGGCGCCAAGCGTCCTTCGGATGGCATCGGCCTGCTGGGAAAGCGGGGGTGGCAATGCGCTCCCTCAGTCTCTCCACCCAAAGCCATCAAGCCCCCCCGCCCAATCCGCACACCACACACACACACACACGCACGCACGCACGCACGCGCACACACACAGTTGTTTGATCCGCGGGTCGCCTCTTCCAGTCGAAGCTAAGCGGGCCGCGCGAAGCTTGAGTTAGGAGGAGGGGGGGGAGGAGAAAGCGGCGGTGCCTCAGGGCGCGGCCGATGGGGAGGCAAAGCCCCAGAGACGGGCGGACCCGGAGCACACACACACACACACACACGCACGCACGCACGCACGCACGCACGCACGCACGCACGCACGCACGCACGCACGCACGCAGGCGCGCGCTTCGCAGGAGGCCCCGCTCCGGCTCCTCCTCCTCCTCCCCGCCCACAGCTTGCAGGGGAGCTCGCCTGGCTGTCCCCCTTGTCCCGGGTGGTGTACCGCCTCTCCCAGTACGCGGGCTCGCCAACCCTGGCGCGGACAAGTCGGGGGGGAGGGAAGAGGAGGAGGAGGAGGAAGGAAGGCAGGAAGGAGGAGGGAGGAGGAGAAAAGGTGAACAGGAGGGAGGAGGAGGAGGAGGAGGAGGAAGGAAGGAGGAGGAGGAAGGAGGAACAGGAAGGGAGGAAGAGGAGGAAGGAAGGAGGAGGAGGGAGGAAGGAGGAGGAGGAGGAGGAGAGGAAGGAGGAGGAGGAACAGGAGGAGGAGGAGGAGGGAGGAAGGAAGGAAGGAGAGGGAAGGAAGGAAGGAGGAGGGGGCGGAGGTTGGGGGAGGGCGTTCCGAGGCCAGGGCGAGACGTGAGAAGCCACGACGGGTGCGCTGGGCCCGCTGTGGGCGCCAGGAGAACGAGGCAGAGTGGCGGGAGGCGGGAGCTCCAGACGAGACCTCTCGCCCGGCGTCGCGTATGTGTATTTCCGCGCGTCGAAAACAGTTTTTGATCCGCGGGTCGAGAGCGCACCTCTTCCGTTCGAAGCTAAGCGGGCCACGCGAAGCTTGAATTAACCAGAGATAGAAGAGGGCGCGTCGGATACAGTCAGCCAGGATGATACGCATACGCGGTAAGGATGCAAAAAGGCCTTGGAACGCCATGCTGGCATGTCTTCCACGTCGCTGTCCAGCGAAAGTCTCAAGGGATGGGCCGAAGGGGCAAGGACGCTAAGGGTACCTTGCCAGAGTGCCCCATCCTTGCTATCATGGTTGACTGTATGTGGGAGTAGACGAAGGGGCCCTGGGACACACAAGGAAATAGACACAAATAAAAGGATTACCCATATTTTCCCACATGTTCTGGGTTTCTGGCTTCCCCCCACTTCCCATATGTTCCTATATGTTCTGGGGGATCGCCGATTCATTGTGCCTGTGTGTTTCTCTCACTCCTGAGAGTATAACGGGCTGCGTGGTGGAGCATGGGGGCGAGGTGGGGGGGGTCCCTCTGCAAAGTGACGGAATTCTTGCGGCGTGCGCATCTCCACCAGCAGTTTACCTGGGGCATCGTCGTCGTCCACCCTGACTTGGCCCACAGGCACCAAACATACTTGAAGGGGCCCTGGGGCACACAAATAAATACACACAGATAACAGGATTCCCTATAGTTTCCCATATTTTTTTATTTTCGTCTTCCCCCCCACTCCCCAGATTCTCCCATATTTTCTGGGGAGTCGACGATGAATTGCGTCTGTGTGTTTCTTCCCCTGCTGATTTGCCTGGTGCATCGTCGTCGTCCAAACTGAATTCGCCCGCGAGCACCAAACATACTCCAGACTTCGTAATAAAAGGGAGGGGGTCTCAACCCTCCCAGACGAGAAGTTTCAGACCCCCCCCCCCCGTGGGAGAGCCCTCCAAAACATCGTCCCCAGAGACCCCAGGCCCTCCAAGATAGCCTGGAAGAGACCCCCCCCGAAATGAGACCCCCCTCCCTTTATTACGAAATCTGGAGTACTTACAAACGGCTAGCAGGGGGCATCCAGCGGCTGGCATGGCACGTCTCGCGGTCGCCCAAACTGAAGTGCACTGGCCCCGAACAGCCAGGCCCAAACCGATAAGACAGCTCAGTGCAAGGGCAACACCGACGTCACCGTGGTCATCGTCGTTGCCGTCGTTGACGCCGTCGCCATCGTCGTCGACGTCGTCGCCGGCGTCGTTGACACTGTCGCCACCGTCATCGTCGCCGCCGCCGACTCTGTCGGCGTCGTCGCCGTCGCCGTCGTCGTCGTCGTCATCATCGTCATCGTCGTCGTCGTCGTCATCGTCATCGTCGTCACTATCGCCCTCGTCGTCGTTGCAGCCGTCGACGACATCGGCCATCGTCGTCGTCGCTGCCTTCGCCGGCGTCGCTGTCGTCGTCGTCGCTGCTTGCGCCGTCGTCGTCGTCGTCGCCAACGCCGTCGCCAACGCCGTTGACAATGTCGCCGCCATCATCGTCAGCGCCACCGACTCTGTCGGCGTCGTCGTCGTCGTCGCCATCGTCGTCATCGTCATCATCGTTGACATTATTCGCCATCGTCGTCGTCGCAGCCGTCGACGTCAACGTCGACATCGACGCCGCCGCCGCCAACGTCGTCGTCGTCCTCGTCGCTGCCTTCGCCGTCGTCGTGGTCGTCGTCATCATCATCGCCAACGCGGTCGCCGTCGTCGCCACCTTCGTCGTCCTCGTGGCCGTCGTTGTCGTTGACATCCGACCACCCCCCCTGATCCCTCCTGGCGCACATCCTTGCTGCTGCATTCCGGATCGATCTGCGTGGGCCCAGGGGCCGGAAGCGCGCCCACAGATGCCGAAACTATTTTGCTTCGAGCGATCCCCACCGAAACCTTCAGCGTTTGGTCCCAGCGGTGCGCGCGCCTACTGGAAGGACGTGCGCAGTGCCCAGCGGCGTCGGCCAGCGCGGCGGCCAGGCCAGGTCGCAAGTTGATGCTTTCCGAATTCTGACAACCACAAGGCCCCTGACGAGGACAAAAACAAACCCAAAAGTTGTCTGCGATACCCCAGAACTGATTCTGAGATTGTGGATGACAATCCATTACGCGTAGCGCCTGCGCGCAGGCCTATCATAGGCCTGTGCATAGCCTGTGCATAGGCCTATGACGGACAAGGCGCACAGGCCCTGAGAAGGCCTATCGAAAGGCCTACGATAGGCCTGTCGATAGGCTATGCATAGCCCTGCCGTAGGCCTCTCGGCAGGCTGTGCACAGGCCTGTGACAGGCATGGCGACGAGCTGTGCACAACCCAACATAGGCCTATACATAGGCCTATGCACAAGGTGTGCACAGGTCTCTACTCTGCCTAAGCGCAGCGTGAGAGTATGCCCGAACACACGGCGACAGACCTATGCACAGCCTATGCACAGGCCTTTCAATGGCCCATGGGCAGGCTGTGTACAAGCCTGTGATAGGCCTGTGCGAAGCCTGTGTATCGGCCTGTGGTAGTCCTATCGTTAGGGTGTGCGCAGGCCCACGACAGGCCTATGCAGAGGCCTGCAATAGACCTATGGTATGCCTGCGGTAGGCCTGTGTACAGCTACGCACAGGCCTGTAGAGGGTGCGACGTTCCCACATGTATAGCCTACGCACAGGCCCGAACCTAAGGCCCGCACAGGCCTATGTATAGCCTGCGCATAGGCCTGTGGTAGACCTGAACACAGGCTGCGCACTGACCTGCAGGCTGTGAGCTCTGGGACAGCCTGGACCAGATCTTCCAGGCAGCCCCAGGACCAATCCGATATGGCATCACATAACCTCCTAGATATTCAAATGCGAACCCATAATCGGAGGAAAGGAGGGAGGGATGACAAGCATCCAAGAGAGGGCTGGATGGGTCACCCTAAAACGGGGCGGATTGTTCAGGGAGCCCCTCTAGAAATTGTGCGCAGCTTGTCCACACACCTGTGGCAGGCTTGTGCAAAGCATGTGCACAAGCTCGTCGCGGAGCATCGGCAGTCCCACGGGCCCACAACAGGCCCACCACAAGCCTGTCGACAGGCCTGCGACAAGCCTGCGCACAGGCTCTGCACAGGCTTGACGCGGAGCGCTGGCTCTCCCCCGGGCCTGCGACAGGCCTGTGCACAGGCTTCCCACAGGCCTGCGACGAGCCTTTGCACAGGCTATGCACAGGCCTGTCGCGGGGTGCTGCCTCACTACAGGCCCACCACAAGCCTGTCCACAGGACTGTGACAGGCCTGTGCACAGGCTACGCACAGGCCTGTCGCGGGGCGTTGGCCCGCTCCCAAGCTCGCCACAGGCCTGTGGAAAGGCTTTTCACAGGCCTGTGACAGGCCGGTGCACAAGCTAGGCACAGACGTGTCGCGGGGTGTCGGCCCACACCCAGGCCCACCACAGGCCTGTGCACAGCCTCTGCACAGGCCTGCGGCAGGCCTGTGCGCAAGTTCTGCACAGGCCTGTTGCGGAGTGTCGGCCCTCGCACAGGCCCACCACAGCCTGCGTACAGCCTGTCCACAGGCCTGGAACATGCCTGTGCACAGACTATGCACAGGCTTGTCGCGAGGTGTCGGCCGTCGCACAGGCCCACCATAGGCATGTCCACATGCCTGTGGTAGGCCTTTGCACAGGCTGTGCACAGGCCTGTCGCGAGGCAATGGCCCTCTCCAGGCCCACCACAGGCCTGTGCACAGGCTGTCCACAGACCTGTGGTAGGCGTGTGCACAGGCTGTGCACAGGCCTGTCGCGGGGTGCAGGCCCTCGCACATGCCCACTACAGGACTGTGCACAGCCTGTGCACAAACCTGCGGCAAACCTGTGCAACAGATATGTACAAGCCTGTCCTGGAGTGTCGGCCCTTCTCCAGGCGCATCGCATCCTTATGCACAGCCTGTTCACAGGCCTGTCACCGGCCTATGCACAGGGTGCGCACAGGCCTAAGCACAGGCCTACGCACAGGCTCTGTGCAGGCCTATGTTTCGCGAGCACACAGGCCCCGAGGCAGCGTATCGATAGGACTATCGATAGGCCTATGGTCAGGCTGTGCATAGGCCTGTCGATAGCCCTATCGACATGCCTATGGGTAGGTTGTGCCTAGGCCTGTCACAGGCCTGTGGACACACTGTGCACTGCACAGGCCTACGGTAGCCCTGTGCTCAGTCTGTCTGTGCAGAGGCCCAACGACGGAGGCTTCCACATGCCTGTATACACCCTATGCACAGGCTTACGACAGGCCTGTGCACATCCTAGGCAGAGGACTGTGACAGATCTATACACAGCCTGTGCACAAGCACGCAGGGGGCCTATCATAGGCTATGCACAGCCTGAGCATAGGCTAGCCAATGTCAGCCTCCGGTAAGAGGAAGAGGAGGCACAGCAGCAGCACCACGAGCAGGAGACGGGCGACGAAGGACGAGGAGGAGGAGGAAAAAGGAGGTGAGGCGAACCTCTCCTTCCTCCTCCTGTTCTTCCTCATCGTGCTCGTTCCTCCCAGTCCTCCTCCTCCTCCTCATCTTCCCCCTCCTCCTCCTCCTCCTCCTCCTCCTCCTCCTCCTCCTCCTCCTCCTCCTCCTCCTCCTACGTACCCTCCTCCTCGCCCTGTTCTTCGTCCTCTTCCCTCATCATGCGCCTCGCCCCCCCTATTCCCCCTCACCCTCGTCTTCTTCGCTCCCCCGAGCATGCGCGGGGCGCGCGGCGGCCCCGGGCGGAGCACCCCCGGCATGTGGGTATCCGACATCCATGGGTGCACGTTGGATCATACATGTCACCATGTCGTTGGAGATGCTACGGTATGATCTGCGTTGCGGCACTATGATATTGCATGGTATGATGAGATATGATGCTACATCATGCTCTGTTTCATGATGATGTTGACGCCTCGACTCAGTACATGTGTTATGATCCGCTCTGTTAATATGTTTCGCAATGCTCTGGTGCCGTGTCCAGCCATCGTGTGTTATGTTATGATAGGATATAGTATGTTGTGTTGTGATATGTCGTATTATGTAATATCATGCTATGTTCTGGTATGTTCTGAGATGTTGTGTTTGTGGACGGTTCCGCACAGTAAGATCTAGTATGACCTGCTATGCGAGTATGTGGCGATATGCTACACTGACGTGGTCTGACATGTTCTGCGATGAAATGCAATGATATGGGATGTTATGTCAATATGTCGTATGGGTTCCTTGGTTATGCTATGTTATGTTGTGGTACGCCGCCTTCTCTCTACCATGCTATACTATGATGTGGTATGTGATGTTATGCCATGCTCTGGTGTGCCATGATATTGGTATGTTCTGCTATGTCATGGTATGGTATGCTCGTGTTATGTCATGGTATCGTCTGGTGTGACATGTTGCGTTCTAGCGTGTTCACCGCTATGCTCTGCTGTCGTCTTATAGTGAAGCTGTGTCATGATATGATATGTTCTGTCAATGTATATGATGTTATGATCGGTTATGTTATAACATGTTGTGATATGCCGTTCTAGGTTATGCCATGCTCTGCTCTGGTTTGTTTTGTGATGTGATGGTGTCCTCTAGGTTGTTACGACATTGATATGTTATGTTCTGCCATGTTCTGCCATGCTCTTGCTCTGTTCTGTCATGCTATTTTTTCCTCTCCTCGCAAAGCAAGCACACACCAATTTCAGTCCCTGCTCCGACGATTCACTACTCTCTGTTGTATTGAATCCGCTTCCCCTCATGGGGGCTATACCACCTCCCATTGAAGCGCGCACGGACACGGGCCCGTACAGGTCAGAGTCTCAATCGCAAGAGGCCCGTAAAAAAAACCCTGCGACCTTGAAAGGGTGACCTCGGAGCGAAGTCCGGCGGCCGCTGTGGATTACCCTACAACTTCCACGCCGAGATACAAATATCACCCAACCGAGACCCCTACCCGAGGCGGCAGCCCGGGTGCCCAGGCGAAGTGGCACGAGCCACGACGCATCGCCAAATAGGCCAAGTGTAGATTTAAAGGGCACAGATGCCGCACAATCAAAACGCCAGAGGAGGAGGAGGAGCAGCAGCAGCAACGGCAGGAAAGCAGGAGAGCAGAGCGCAAAAGAAGCTACCGAAATCGATCAAACACCGCCGAACTCATAAAAAGTGCCACCGCCACCGAAACCTAAACGGAACACCTGAGGGCGACTTGAAAACTCGCCCGCACGGCGCTCAGGACACCAGCCACCGACGCGCGATGGATCGCGGAGGGAACCATGCCCTATGGATACATCGCTGGAGGAAGGAGGAGGAAGAGACAGGGGCGAGAGCGGGAGGAAGAGACGAGATGGGAGGGCCCTGCCAGACCGCGAATTGTATTTCCTGTCCCCACCGCAGCAAGGCCTGAACGCTTGACCAGTGATCTGTATGCCAGAAGTGATCCAGCCAAGATGCAGGCGTGCGTCAAAATACAAGTCGGGACCTTCCGCGTTACGGCAACGGCCACACGGCCTGGAGGCTTGTGAAACGTCAGATCGTCACTATGTGAAACGCCGGCCGGCACGGCATACACGCAAAACAATCCAGACTGCCCCGTACGGCCGCGCATTCTCCACTTGGCCTGGTCGCACGAAGCGGACAGAAGCGCAACGAGGAGGAGGAGGAGGAAGACGAGGACGAAGAGAGGAGGGAAAAGGAGCCACGAAGGGAAAAGGTCAAAGAGCGAACGCTTACATCTAGAACGCATTTTGTCCCAACATGCCTCTGGGATTGCTACAGCTGTCCCGGCCGCGTGGCCGATAGAAGATGGAAACACAGTTTCGACTCCGACCGGTAGCCCAGCTGGTGGCGCAGTCTGTCGGCACCCATTTGCCCACAGAGGCCCGAGAAGAGGTTAACAAAATGTCCCCCCCCGGGCCCCTATCCACCTAATGGCGAAAAATGTGCGCATACATTGGCGCGCTGTGTGGCGGTATCCTTGTTTCTAAAAATCTGTTCTGTCATGCTATATTGTGCCATACTGTGTTCTGTCGTGTTTGTCGAGGGCGCGAGGCGGGATGACCGGGATTCTCGGGACAACTTGGGGTCTGGCGGCCGCGGAAAGCAGGGTGTGTTCTGTCGTGTTTGTCGAGGGCGCGAGGCGGGATAACTGAGACTCTCGGGGCATCTTGGGGTCTGACGGCCGCGGCATGCAGGGGTGGGAGTGGCCCGGAAGTCTGTTCTTAAAACCTGACGACCCCAACCTATCCGGTGGGGAAATACCGAATCATGCATACTCCAGATTTCGTAATAAAAGGGAGGGGGTCTGGACCCTCCAAGACAAGCCATTTCAGACCTCCCCCGTGGGAGACCCCTCCAAATTATCGTCCCCAGACCCCCCAGGCCCTCCAAGATAGCCTGGAAGATACCCCCCACCGAAATGAGACCCCCCATGACTCTATTACGACATCTGGGCTATCCGAGCTCAGCCTTCGCCGTCGGCCGTCGGTGATCGTCGTCGCCGTCGCTGGCGTCGCCGCTGCTCGTCGCAGGGGGGGGGGTGGCCGGGAAATCTGTTCTTCAAACCTAACGACCCCAACCTGTCTGGTGGGGAAATACCGAATCATGCATATCCGAACTTCGCCTTCGCCGTCGGTCGTCGGTGATCGTCGTCGTCGCCGCTGGCGTCGCCGCTGCTCGCCGCAGTGGTCGCGGTCCGAGGGGCGGCCTGAGGCGCGCCCGCCGCTGCAGGCAGGCCCCGCGCCGGCAGCCCCTGGCGCCGCAGCGCGAGCTGAGTCCTCCTCTTCCTCTTCGTCCTGCTCCTCCTCCTCCTGCTCCTGCTGGTCCTCCTCCTCCTCCTGCTCCTGCTGCTCCTTCTCCTCCTCCTCCTCCTCCTCCTCCGCCTCCTCCTCCTCCTCCTTCCCCTCCTTCTCCTTCTCCTCCTCCCCCTCCTCCTCCTATTCCTTCTCGTCCCCTCCCTGTCGCACCACCAGACGTCGGGCCAGGTCGGTCGATTCGCCTCAGACGTCCTCGCAGCTTCTGATCCTCAAGCTGAAAAGAGCTCGAGCACAACAGTGCTCTTGTGACCACGAGTGGCTACGGAGGCTGGAAACTGCCAGACCGACGACAGCCTGCATGCACACCAACATGCCCGCGAACACATGGCTACAGAGATGGAGGGCCAGACTAAAACCCTCCCAAAATCAGCCGCTGGACCACTCGCGACTACCATTGATTTTTTTCCCTAACAGAAATAATTCGCTGAGCAATTAATGCTGTAGCTGTACTGTAGGGTGCTACAGTAAATAATTCGCTGAGCAATTAATGCTGTAGCTGTAGCTGTAGCTGTAGCTGCGACGAAGCTTTCGCGCGGCGTTTTTTTCTGTTTTTTACGACGCCGGGAGGTCTGGGCCAGGAAGGAAAAAGGAGTTAGAAAGGAATTTGATAAGGGATTTCAAAAGTTAGAAAGAAACTCAGCTGTTTTGCGTTAAATTTGTTTTTGTTACGACGCCAGGAGGTCTGGGCCGGGGAAGAAAAAGGAGTTAGAAAGGAATGTGATAAGGAATTTCAAGAGTTAGAAAGGAATGTCGTTGTTGGGGTCGTTTTTTTTGTTTTTTTAACGACGCCGAGATGTCTGGGCCAGGAAGGAAAAAAATGAGTTAGAAAGGAAATTGATAAGGAATTTCCAGAGTTAGAAGGGAAGTTCGTTTTGGGTGTTGTTTTTAAACAAAAAAGAAACGACGCCGGGAGGTCGGGGCTAGGAAGGAAAAAGGAGTTAGAAATGAATTTAATAAGGAATTTCAAGAGTTAGAAAGGAATTTCGTTTTTGGTGTTTTTTGTTTTGTTTTTTACGACGCCGAGAGGTCTGGGCCAGGAAGGAAAAAGGAGTTAGAAAGGAATTGAATAAGGAATTTCAAGAGTTAGAAAGGAATTTCGTTTTCTGGGAAATTGTTTTTTGTTTTGTTTTTTTTTTTTACGACGCCGAGAGGTCTGGGCCAGGAAAGAAAAAGGAGTTAGAAAGGAATTTAATAAGGAATATCAAGAGTTAGAAAGGAATTTCGTTTTTTTGGATTATTTTTGTTTTGTTTTTTAAAACGACACCGAGAGGTCTGGGCCAGGAAGGAAACAGGAGTTATAAAGGAATTTAATAAGGAATTTCAAGAGTTAGAAAGAAATTCATGTTTGGTGGCTGTTTTTTGTTTTGTTTTTTACGACGCCGGGAGGTCAGGGCCTGGCCCAGACCTCTCGGCGTCGTGAACAAAAAAACAGACCCCCGAAACAAAAACAACCAAAAAAACAAAATTCCTTTCTAACTCTTGAAATTCCTTATTAAATTCCGTTCTAACTCCCTTTTCCTTCCTGGCCCAGACCTCTCGGCGTCGTAAAAAAAAACAAAACAAAAAACAGACCCCAAAAAAACGGAATTCCTTTCTAACCCTTGAAATTCCGTATTAAATTCCTTTCCAACTCCTTTTTCCTTCCTGGCCCAGACCTCTCGGCGTCGTAAAAAACAGAACAAAAAAAACAACCCAAAAAAAAACAAAATCCTTTCTAACTCTTGAAATTCCTTATTGAATTCCTTTCTAACTCCTTTTTCCTTCCTGGCCCAGACCTCTCGGCGTCGTAAATAAAAAACAAAACAAAAAAAAACAACACAGAAAAAAAAACAAAATTCCTTTCTAACCCTTGAAATTCCTAATTAAATTCCTTTCTAACTCCTTTTTCCGTCCTGGCCCAAACCTCTCGGCGTCGTAAAAAAAAACGAAACGAAAAACAACCCCAAAAAACGAAATTCCTTTCTAACTCTTGAAATTCCTTATTAAATCCCTTTCTAACTCATTTTTCCTTCCTGGCCCAGACCTCTCGGCGTCTTAAAAAAGCAAAACAAAACAAAAACAACCCCCAAAACGAAATTCCTTGCTTGCTAACTCTTGAATTTCCTTATCAAATTCCTTTCTAACTCGTTTTTTCCTTCCTGGCTCAGACCTCTCGGCGTCGTAAAAAAAAACACCAAAACAACCCAAAAAACAAAATTCCTTTCTAACTCTTGAATTTCCTTATCGAATTCCTTTCTAACTCCTTTTTCCCTTCCTGGCCCTGGCTTCCTCGGGCAATTCGGACTCGATTGTCTTTGAGGTTCAGAACTATCTCTGGTATTCAAATTCCTTTCTAACTCAGGAAATTCCTTATCGAATTCCTTTCTAACTTCCCAACTCAATAGAAATGCATAACCAAAATGCTCTTGGCAATATTTCGAGCCTACATTATTAATTCCCGACGCAATTATTGATGTAATTGCATACAGTGCGCACTACAGAAATAATTCCGAAACCAATTAAAGCTGTACTGTAACCAAAAAAAATCAATGGTAGTTCTCGAGCCGCGCCCAGCCGTCGCCACGAGAACCTCCAGAAATGCCCAAGCGCTTCCGACACGAAGACTTCGTCGACGTGATCGACGCCGCCGCCCTCGCCGCAGTCGTCGCCGTCGTCAACGGTGCGTTCTGACTGGTGGTGCGTTCTGGGCCCACGTCGTCGCGGCCCTTTGCCTGTCCAGCCGTCGCCGAAGCGAATCCCGAAGAGGCGACGACAGCGCCCCGCAATCCCCCCCCGAAAGATGCCTCACGATCGACTACGGCCGACGGTGTCGTCGGTGTCGCCACCGCCGCCTGCGCAGACGCCGCCGCCAGCCACGGCTTCGTCGCCGCGACGATCGGCTCCATACAAGAGCAACCCTGGGCAAGAGTGACCTCTGGTGCGCTGCACATCATGGGGGCCGCGGAGGAGCAGAACCCACGCGCGCAGGCCAGTGCTGGACTGTGCTCGGGGGGGGCCTGTGAGCCTGTACCAGATGGGGAAACTCAAGGGCACTGAGGCCGCTACAACCCGGATCTCTACCAGGGTGCGTCCTGTGCACACCCTCGAGGCGAACACGGCGCTGGCGACGAGGACCCTCCAGGAGACCCAGAAAGGCGAAATCCAGCGAAGGGCAGCGGTGTGGGTACCTCTTCCTCCCCTTGCCAGGTGGCCACCCTGGCGAAGGGACACTCTTACGACGGGCGAAGACAAAGCCGTCGCAGCTCCGGCGTCGGCCACCGGGGCGCCTCGGCACCGCGGCGGGCCGGCGCGCCGCTGCCAACGCGGCGCCCGCGGCCGCCGGGGGGCAAAAGGCGCGGGCACCAGCGGCGCAAGCCTCTCTCTGTGGGGCGCCGCCGGCGACGAGCGGCGGCGACAACGATGAGCGGCGGCAGGGACGACGGCGGCGGCGGCGGCAACGGCGAGGAGCGGCGGCGCGGACGCGCGGCGGCGGCCCCGGCGACAACGACGACGACGAGCAGCGAGAACTGAGGCCGCGACGACGACGAGCGGCGGTGGCGGCGAGGGCGGCGGCGGCGGCGGCGGCAACGTCAACATCGACGTCGTCGACGACGACGACGCGATTCAAAGTTTTCGCCATGTTGGGCATCTGAGAGCCCACGGAAGATCCAGAGGCCGATGCTGACTGGATCTTGGTCCGCTCCAGAGAGGGCACCGGCGGCGTCGGCGGCCGAGAGGACGCCCAGAGAGGAGAAGGGGCCTGCCGGTGGTGTCGCTCCTTCTCTCCGAGGAGGAGACGGTCCTGGTCTGGATCGAACCGCGAGATTGGATCGGGTCGAAAACGGACCGCACCGCCAACGACTCGTCCCGAATCGGAAGGAAATCGCACCGCTTCGCCCGGCCCCGGCTGGCTGCGGCCGATGCTGGTGAATCGAGCTGAATCGGAACCGCAGCCCTGGCTGGCGAATCCACTGGGATCTTGGGCTTACTCTGGATCCCTTAATCACTGACCCCCCCTAAAAACTGGAACCCCCTTTCCTTCGCGACATAATTTTCTGGACCCCCTCCCGCAAAGTGGGCTTTAATATTCCGGACCCCCCCTGCCAGCAACATTGCGAGCGCGATCGTTCATGACGGTGGCTTGGGGATAACGGTGACGATAAGTAGACGCCGTTGCCAACGTGAAGTTGGACCACACTGTTGAGGAGCGTGATGGGAGCAAGGGCTGGGTATCCATGTTCCCCCCCACAGAGTTTCTGCGAGATGCACGGAACCTCACGATGATGATGATGCTGCTGATGATGGGAGCAAGGGCTGGGTATCCATGTTCCCCCCCACAGAGTTTCTGCGAGATGCACGGAACCTCACGATGATGATGATGCTGCTGATGATGATGATGATCATGATGATCATGATGATGATGATGTTGATGATGATCATGATGATGATGATGATGATGATGATGATGATGATGATGATGATGATGATGATGATGATGATGATGATGATGATGATGATGATGATGGTTAGTACGCCGCGGGCTGGTGGTCACGAGCACGAGCATGGAGCATGTCGCGTGCGTAAGGGTGGTGTCAAATTGCATGCTCATAGGGCGCCCTAATAAACCAGACCCCCCCCCCCCGAACGTCGGCTTCAAAACAACGCCTTAATGAACCCGACCGCCTGCCTCCCCAAAAGGCGCCTTAAAAACCCAGACCCGGGGGACGATTATCAAGGGATCCGGAGTAGGTCGGAAATATCAAAAGATGACCAACAATACTTAACAAATACAGTCACCAGCCTGACCTAAGGAACGATCAATAAGGAACGAAGCCCGTTTTTATCCCAAGGAATAATAACGCATAAGAAACGATAAATAATAAATAACGCAAAAGGAACTGTCAAAAACGCATGCATACCTAAGGAACGACCGAGCCCCTTTTGAAAAGCACGTGTTCCTTTTTCAAGCCGCTCACTGTAGGCCCACGACTCTTTTTTTACTATTTTTGAATATTCCCCCTGTAGAGGGACAGATCCGACTTAATCGTAGCCGACCCTGGGAGGCCCGCGGTCTCTGCGCACGACGGCCCACCTGCGTCGCCGGCCAAAACTGGGGCACGCGGCGGTCGGGAGGCGAGGCTGTCTGAGCGAGAAAGCGGCACCCCCGGGCTTGCTTGGAGAGGGCACGCGAGAGGACACGAGGCCCCTCCGAGGTAAAACGACGCGAAGATCGGGACAAAATCGGATCGGGATAATTCGAAATCTCTGAGAATCGGCGGGTTTGGAGGATGTATTGGGCGCCGCGGCCGCTCCAAAGCGTTCTGGAACGCTCTGAGAGCGCTCCGGAACGCTCTGGAGCGATTTATCCCGATCCTAGCCCTGTATTACGAGGGTCACACCTGCCACAGGAATGCGAGGAGGCATGGGTCGCGAGGCACAGGACACGAGGGCACCCTGGATCTGGCAGGGTCGACCTACTGATCAGGGCCGAGGGTAGCCCGGACGAGGCAACAGCGGGGGGCTCAGTGGGCCCCGGAAACGGCAGGGCCGTTTTTTCACCGTTTCCGGAAAAGTGCCCCTTCGGGAGCGGCCAAGAGGGGGGTGTCCAAGAGGGGGGGGTGCAAATCATGACCGGCGACATGTGCGCGGCCCAGCGGGGGGGCCAGGGACGTAATGAAATGAGAAGAGGCTCCATGAAATCTGAGGAGATATCATGGCCCACGCCATAATATCCACCCCCCCTAGTCATCACCCCCCTCTTTTCCGCCCCCGATCCCTTGAACATGGAAACGGCAAAAAACAACGGCGAGCGGAAACGGCAACAAAAACGGCTCCAGGGTTGGAACCGGAGCGAGAACCCGTGTAAAAGAACGGCGACGGAACTGGTAAATAGACGGCGTCGGAACCGGCCAAATCAGCGCCCCTCAAACGGGGACTCCACTAACGGGCACTTTGCCCAGTGACCCAGCGAACCCAACCCTTCCCGAGGCGGGCAACGCTGCATTGCCAGAAAGAGCCCCTAAAGTGGCAACTTTCGGCAAAATTGCACAGTATCCGTCAGTAAGTACCCGTTACGGTGCCGTTGACCAAGAACTGGCAAAGCGGAACCGGTAACAAAAACGGCCCTCTCGTTTCCAGGGCCCGCTACGAGCGGGGGGCGCCCGGAGGGGGCGCAGCGGGCGCGCCGAGCGAGGCCGAGCGCCGTCCCCCCCCCCGGGGCCAGGCGGGGAGCAGGGGCAGGGGCAGCAGGCCAGCGGCGGCGGGCGGCGGGCACCGCGGGTGGAGGCGCGGGGCGTGGCCGGGAGAGCGCGGCTCTGGACACCCGTAGTGGGTACCGAAAGAATGGGTACAATGCCCAACAACAAATGTTGTCCCAAAACCAGCAGCGGCCGCTGTTGGGCAGGCGGCCTTCTGTCTCGAATGGGCACAGGCCGCGGCGGCGTGGACAGCGAATCCTGTTCAGAATGAACAGGAACTGCTGCTGGGCATCGTACCCATTCTTTCCGTGCTCTCGGGCGTCCATAGCGGTTCGAGAGCACGAGCGCCCTCGTTGGTGTCCGCTCCATGGGAGCCTGCGCGGCCCCCTAAAACGACGCGAAGATCGGGACAAAATCGGATCGGGATAACTCGAAATCTCTGAGAATCGGCGGGTTTGGCAGACGTATTGGGCGCCGCGGCCGCTCCAGAGCGTTCCGGAACGCTCTGAGAGCGCTCCGGAACGCTCTGGAGCGATTTATCCCGATCCCAGCCCTGTTTTAGTCCGTTCCATGGGAGCCTGCGCGGCCCCCGGCGCTGTCCAATTCGGGCCTGCTTTGGACCGGATTTGGAACAAATGTGGCCCGGATTTGGACCAGAGTTGGACTGGATTCGCGGGGACTGGGAGAACGAGGAGGGGAGGGGGAGCAGGAGGGGAGAGGAGGAGCAGGAGGATGGGCCAAATGTCGTCCCCATGCGGTCCAAATGCAGGAAAAGCTGATTTCAGTGTCGCTTCCCAAGGCTCCCATGAACAGACATCGAAGCCGTCGCCTTGTGTTCGAGTCCCAATGCTGACTACGTACCAGACCACCCCTACCCAACCCGAAGGCCCTCGAATTTCGGTTTGGGGGGGTAGGGGTTCCATCTGTGTATTTTCGACGTTCCGCGACCCCCCCCACTGGAAATGGATGGCAAATTGAGGCCTTCGGGTTGGGTTAAGGTGGTTTGGTGGGTGGTGAAATCCCCCATGGAGGTGCCCATGACAAAGGACAGTCAAGGTGGAGAGCCCTCACGAGCCCAAACACGGGGAGCAATCAAGTACATCACCAAATCCAGGGACGTTGTTTAACATCCCGTGTCAGCTACATGAGAGATGAACTTGGAGCTCGCCCTTGTAAGGGGGGCTCAGACAAATACCCATCGGTCGGAAGAAGCAGGTAGAAACACGATAGAGGAAAGAGGAACATATATTGGGTGTCCGCCCGCCGTCAAAAATAAGGGAACAGGTGAAGCCGATCGACCATTGAAGTAGGAAGGCGCTTCAAGTAGATTGAAGATGGGAATCCAGAAATGCCTACTTTCAACGACCGATGGGCACACCGGAGTTGTTGCTCCCTGGACCTCTCCTGGGGCGCGCCCTGACCACGAATCCGGGGCGAATCCGCTCTCGACCACGAGTTGAGCAGGGACCGACCGTCCCGGCATTCCTATAGCCCTACCACGATATATTCTTGGAACCCCAAACAATGTTCGAATCGCATGAACAATGTTCTTAGAACATTAACCCGATGTGATAAAACAAGACAGGCTCCGCCAGAAATGTTCTAAGAGCATGTCGTGGAGACCACAGAACAGGTTGTCATAACATTGTTTGGTAGGGCTATAGGCGAGCCAGGACGCTTCGCCACTGCTTGAACGAGAGCCCGCCACGGGGCCCGAAAAGGCAGAAACGATGGAGACGGATACGTGCTTGCGTTCTCTCGGCTGCGAGCCCAGGGGTAGACCAAGAGGTGGCAGGCCTTGACAGAAGGCGGCGGAGCTTCCCAAGGACCCTCGGGCATCAGGGTCTCTTGGGAGTCTTGAGTCAAAGCGGAGGAAGTATCGAACGGGAGCGTCGTTGTCTGCAGGAGGTCCTGAGGCGGGAGCGCTGGCCCTGAGGTGAAAAACAATAAGTATCGATCGGGAGTGCCGATGTTGTCGGAACGTCGGCTCGGGGGGGCGAGGGCTTTCCGAAGAGCCGCCTCTGTTGAAGGGGCCCTGGGACACACAAATAAATACACACAAAAAATGATTCCCCATATTTTCCCATGTTTTCTGGGTGTTCGTCTTCCCCCCCACTTCCCATACTTGTTTCCATCTTTTCCTGGGAATCGACGATGAAGTGTGTCTGTGTGTTCCTTCCCTCCTGATCTGTCTGGAGAGAAGGCCTGGGGGACGTTTCTCAAGGGCGGCTGGGCAGGCCCGCCCACGGTTTCGCCGCGGATTCGCCTCTTCCGAAACACGCCAGCACGTGCCCCGAGCGTCGACATGGTCTCTGCTGGGCCCGTTTGTCCACCACCGCCACCATAAGCTGGAGGGGGAGGAGTCCTCCTCCTCCCTCTCCTCCTCCTCCTCCTCCTCCTCCTCCTCCTCCTCCTCCTCCTCCTCCTCTTCCTCCTCCTCCTCCTCCTCCTCCTCTCCTCCTCCTCCTCCTCCCTCCTCCTCCTCCTCCTCCTCCTCCTCTCCTCCTCCTTTTCCTCCTCTTGTCCTCCCCCTCCTCCGCCTCCTCCTCCTCCTCCTCCTCCTCCTCCTCCTCCTCCTCCTCCTCCTCCTCCTCCTCCTCCTCCTCCTCCCCCCCCTCCAACTTGTGGTGGTGGTGGTGGAAGACAGGGCCATCGTGGTCGAAACGCGAGGGGCGTCTGGGCACCGCCAGGCCAGCCGCCATCGCCGCGCCCCACACCAGTCCTGCAGGGGGGGAGGGGGGGGGCGGCACGCAGCCCTCCCGTGGCGCTGCCTCCACGGCGCGTCTCGACTCGGCAGGACGCCGCGTGCCAGGACCGAACCGCCGATGGATCACCGATGCCTCCGGCCGAAGCGCACTGCGTGCAGCACGGATGCGCCTCGAGTAGCGGAAGATCGCGCCTCTCTCCGTGCGAAGTGCGCCTACAGTAGGATCGTGCGGCGTCGGCGCGAACACAGGCTGCTGACGCCGCGTTGTTCGTGCAGCTTTGGTTCAGTCGTCGCCCCGGTTGTGCAGCGTTTAGAGGCCTCCGAGATGGGGTCGGAGTACATGGTGTCGGAGGATCGCGCCGCATCGGCGATGCATCGGCGATGCATCAGCGATGCATCGGCGATGCATCGGCGATGCACCGACGATGCATCGCCGACGTCGGCTACGCATCGGCGACGTCGGCGTGGAGAAACTCGGGCTCCGCATCGAGCCGCATCGGCGATGTATCGCCGATGCGGCGCGACCCTCCGACCCCATCTACTCCGACCCCATTTGGGAGGCCTAGAGCGTTGGCTTCTGTCGGGCCCAGTGACGTCGCCGTGTCCCTTGGTGCTTCCACGTCGCAGAATTTGACCTCGAATGCCTTCGCCAGTGCCGCCGGCGCGCCCACGCCGCGTGAGCCTGCCGTGTCGTCGCCTCCCTCGGCGCTCCCGCGCAGTCCCTCCTGGAAAGTCGGGAGCGGCCAAGAGGGGGGTGTCCTCCTGCTCCTCCTCCTCCTCCTCCTCCTCCTCCTCCTCCTCCTCCTCCTCCTCCTCCTCCTCCTCCTACTCCTCCCTCGTGCTCCTTCTTCTCCCCCTCCCCCTCCTCCTCCTCCTCCTCCTCCTCCTCCTCCTCCTCCTCCTCCTGCTAAAGAGGGGGGGGTCCTCCTGCTAAAGAGGGGGGGGTGCAAATCATGGCCGGCGGCATGTGCGCGGCCCCAGAGGGGGGGGGCCAGGGACGTATCGAAACAGGAAGAGGCGCCATGAAACCTGGGGAGATATCGTGGCCCCCGCCATGAGATCCACCCCCCCCTCGTCATCACCCCCCTCTTTGCCGCCCCCGAGAAAGGGGCTACTTCTCGCTCGGGCCGGGCCGCGCGGCGCGGGCACCTTCTCGCGCCCCCTACGGGTTGCCACAGCTCGATCGGCGCCGCACCCTCCGAATCTTTGCCCGGCCCTCCCCCCTCCCTCCACGCGCACACACTCACACTCACACACACGCACACGCACACGCACACGCACACGCACACACACACACACACACACGCACGCACACGCACACGCACACGCACACGCACACGCACACGCACACGCACACGCACACGCACACGCACACGCACACGCACACGCACGCACGAAAACACAAACACAGACACACACAAACTTGTTTGGCGTCGCGGCATCTTGTCGACTCTTGCGAATCGACGCTAAATTGACGCTAATCGACGCTAAATCGACGCTACATCGACGCTAGCCGACGCTACATCGGCGCTCCCATCGACTCTCAGACGCTGTTCGACGCGACGCCGAAAACGGAATCGAGAGGGGTACACCCGGCTCGCATGACTGGCCACCGAAGGAGACGCCAACACGGCAATTACGGTGCACACGAGCCGTCCGCAGAGACCGTTGACCCTGACGGGCCTGTCCTCGTCCTCCTCCTCGTCCTCGTCCTCCTCCTCCTCCTCGTCCTCGTCCTCCTCCTCCTCCTTGTCCTCCTCCGCCTCCTCCTCCTCGTCCTCCTCCTCCTCCTCCTCCTCCTCCTCCTCCTCCTCTTCTTCTTATTATTATTAGTAGTAATATTATTGTGATGCTTGTTTTTATGCTTATTATTCTTCTTCTTCTTCTTCTTCTTCTTAATATCATTCTTCTGAATATTTTTATTATTCTTCTTCTTCCTCCTCCTCCCCCTCACCCTCCTCCTCCTCCTCCTCCTCCTTCTCCTCCTCCTCCGCCTCTCCTCCTCCTCCTCCTCCTCCTCCTCCTCCTCCTCCTCCTCCTCCTCCTCCTCCTCCTCCTCCTCCTCCTCCTCCTCCTCCTCCTCCTCCTCCTCCTCCTCCTCCTCCTCCTCCTCCTCCTCCTCCTCCTCCTCCTTCCTCCTCCTCCTCCTCCGCCTCCCGGCCAGCGGTCCTGCGAGGGCCACCGGTCCCCGGGCCCTCGGGGCGCCGCGGGCACCGCCGCGCATCGCAGCCCTGCGGCGGGTTTTGCAGAGGTGCTCGCGTTGCGGCTGCCACGACCATGGACACCCTCACAGTGCTATCATCGAATTAAGCATGTGATTCAAATGTCGGGAAACTGTCGTGGGAATGGTTAAAACCTGTTTTTGACATGTTTGAAACAATTCTAACACATGTTCTGGACACCTGGGAATTGTTTGGCAACATGCTTCCTCTCCATTGATCGTCCTCCACACTTCTCGCGTCGGGAGAGGTACCCATGCCGTTGCCCGCGCCCCGATTTTTGCACTTTGTGGCCTCCTCGGACGCCCTCGTCGCAACCGCCGGGGTCGGATCGAGATGCTGGTCAGAACGCACCCTGGGAGAGGGGAATAGCGGTATTGGCACGGCTGGTTTTCCCAACGACGGGGGGTGTTTGGCCGTGTTCGGCCGCTGCTGGGATCCGCGCGGAAATACTAAAAAGATCGGGCGGGACTATCAATGGATGCCGAGGCGGATTAAGTCTGGCCTGACCTAACTTACATGTGCGTCACAAATGCCTCAGGCGGCTTACGGGAATTCTGGATCCGGTCATCAATCGCCCAAACCACTGTCCGAACTGTAAACCACTTCTCAGCTAGGTCAAACCAGATATCCGCCACCGTGCCTCCTGGCACGCTGGTGCGTGGAGGAATGCCAAGACCTGTCTGGTAGGATACTTTGAATTCGGATAAAAGACCCCATCCCCCTAATCGCGGACTGTCGCGTGCATCCCCCCTACTCACCGAAGCCACATCCTTTGTGCCCGCCCGAGGATGGTGCACCTCCAACATGGCAGTTCATGCATAGTCCCCCATCCCACGCGTGCCCGCTCGAAGAAGGTGCACTTCCCGCATGGCAGCCACTTTCTGAATCATCATGCCATACGCGCGTTTTCGCGGAACGTGCAATCCCCGCAAAACAACTGCTGCCCAGCCACCCCTGCCACGCGTACCCGCCCGAGGATGGTGCGGTTCCCGCATGACAACTAATGCCTGAACCCTCATTCCATGCGCGCCTGTTCGAGGACTGCGCCATGCCCGTTTGGGTGCTCCATCGTAGACGTTCCGTTCACGCGCACCCGCTCAAGGATCATGCACGCCACGCGTTCCCAGGCACCGCTCCCAAGCGCCCCAGGGCCGTCGAAGCCACGGTCCCTCGTTAAAAAACAACGGATACGCGCCCCGAGGTTACAAAACCACCCTCGCAGGCAACCAAAGACACCACGATGGCCCAACATGCCTCGACGACGGTACGATGTGGCCCCGAGACGTCCGAAGAGTATCTGAAGACGGCCCAGAATGCCTCCACAAGGGCCCCAAATTAGTCTGGCGAAGGACCCAACCATATGCAGCTGTGAGTGCCGCAGTTGGGGCTACGAACCGCATGAAACGGGTGCGCCGACTTGCGCGGCGGGGTAAACAACGACAACGAAGACGACAGGCCGAATTACGAAAGACTGAGCGTGGGTGAGTCTGAACGCCAGTGAGTCTGAGTGTGAATGAGTCTGCGCGCGATTGAGTATGGTTGCACGAATGCGAGCGTGGTCGCGTATGCCGGACCCTGAGCACGAGTGATCTACGCCTGACCCTGAGCGCGCGTGACACTGGGCGTGGCCGCCTCAGGAAGCTTTCCCTGGAACCCCGACAACAACGCCCGCACGCCGCGACGCCTGTGTCGGCACGCTCCTCACGAGGATCGCGCCCGTTTCCTTCCCGTTGTTTTGTCTCCCCGTTTTTGCCCGCGCACGCCCACGTCCACGGCTGCGGGCGCGGCGCCGCACGGAGTCCCCGCGACGCGCGTTGGTCGCCCCGGAGGGGCCCCGGTGACGCGCGCGGGTCGTCCGCTGCGCGGAGCAGAGAGAGCTAGCTGGCTGGCTGATAACGGGCAAGGCTGCGGCCGCTGGGCAGAGCGCCGACGGGGGCGAGCGAGGCTCTGGGCAGAGCGCAGCGCGGAACTCCCGCGACGCGCGCTGGTCGCCCCGAGAGGATCCCAACGACGCGCGCGGGTCGCTCGCGGCACGAGGCCAAACAGTCAGACCGTCGAGAGACGGCGAGGCTCGGGCAGGCCGCTCCTCAGGCCAAGCCTCGCGGATAAACTCGGTAAAGCTCCGCTCCCTGGCGAAGGCCGCCGCATCCCTCCTGCACCGTTTCGTGCGCGTGGCAAACTGCTCCAGCTGTTTCCGCAAGCCTTCCGGCGGCCTTGCCAGAAAGAACTCGATGCAAACTGCGCCACTGGGACCTGAGGAGGGCTCCGTATTGGGGTCACGAAGCGTGTAAGGGGTGTGCCAAAGTGGGGCGGTGGGCGGCGGCGCAATGCGAGCTGCGCCAGTGAGACCTTAGGTGGAGCTCCCTGTGGGGCCACGAAGCGTGTGAAGGGTGTGCCAAAACGGGGCGGCGGCGCCATGCGTGCTGCGCCATTGGGGCCTTAGGCGGAGCTCCCTATGGGGCCACGAAACATTCGAGGTGTGTCACAAAATGGGGTGGCGGCGCCATGCGAGCTGCGCCGCTGGGACCTAGGTGGAATCCCCTGTTGGGCTACGAAACGTGTGACGGGTGTGCCAAAATGGGGCGGCGGCGCCATGCGAGCTGCGCCAGTGGGGTTTTAGGTGGAGCACCCTATGGGGCAACGAAACATGTGAGAGATGTGCCGAAATTGGGCGGCGGCACCATGCGGCCTGTGCCACTGGGGCCGTCCGTGCCAAAATGGAGCGGCGGCGCCATGCGAGCTGCGCCACTGGGAGCTTAGTTCAAGCTCCCTATAGGGCCACTAAACGTGAGAGGGGTGTGCCAAAAATGGGGCGGCGGCGCCATGCGAGCTGCGCCACTGGGGCTTTAGGTGGAGGCCCTTATTGGGGCCACGAAACGTGTGAGAGGTGTGCCAAAATGGGGCGGCGGCGCCATGCGAGCTGCGCCACTGGGGCCACGAAACGTGCGAGGGGTGTGCCAAAATGGGGCATCGGCGCCATGCGAGTTGCGTCAGTGAGACCTCAGGGGGGGCGCCCTACGGGGCCAGGAAACGTGCGAATGGGACCTTAGGTGGAACTCCATATGCGGCCACAAAACGTGTGAGCGGAGTGCCAAAATGGGGCGGCGGCACCATGCGAGCTGCGCCACTGGGACGTTAGTTCGAGCTCCCTATGGGGCCACGAAGCATGCGAGGCTATACGAGCTGCCCCACTGGGACCTTAGGTGGAGCTCCCTATGGGGCCACGACGCGTGTGAGGGGTGTGCCAAAATGGGGCGCCGCCGCCATGCGAGCTGCGCCACTGGGGTCTTAGGTGGAGCTTCCTATTCGGGCCACGACGCGTGTGAGGGGTGTGCAAAAATGGGGTGGCGGCGCCATGCGAGCTGCGCCACTGGACCTTAGGTGCAGTTTCCTATGGGGCCACGAAACGTGTGAGGGATGTGCCAAAATGGGGCGGGGGCGCCATGCGAGCTGCGCCACTGGGGCCTTAGGTGGGGCTCCCTATGGGGCCACGAAACGCTGTCCTGGGTGGGTGAATCGCAGGGATGAGAGAGGAGGTGGAGAGGAACGCGGGGCACCGTCTCTTCAAAACGAGGACGCAACACCACAGGATGGTTGTGGAAAAAAACCAAAAACCTCAAGACGGCCCAACATGTCCCACGATGGCTGAAGAGGCAAACAAGACTGCTCAAGGGGGTCCCATGGAAACCACTATGGCCTCAACAAGCTGTTCGACGGCGCCAGACGGCGCCAAGACGGCCTAACGGCGGTCCCCGAGTACGTTACGACGGCCCGATGAAGGCCTCAAGCTGCTCCAAAAGCTGCATCACATGAAACCCACACTTTTTTAGTCGGCGGGTCGAGAGCCGGCCTCTTCCAGTTAAGAGCTAGGCGGGGCGGGCGAAGCACTAAGTTGGGAGACAGGGCGCGGGCGGGCGGGGCCTCAACGTGAAACCCACACACAAAACAACTGAAGTAAACCCCACGACAACTATACGAAGATGAGACCCGAGACGGCGGACCTGCTAATGTTCCACACGGCGGCGGCACTCCGCCCTGCAATAAGTGGCGCCAGCATCCAAACCGACAACGTAAACGAGGCAGGACTGTTGGAGGCACGCATCTTTGACTTCCACAGACCAAACCCAGGAGGGTAGACGGGCCAATGGCACGCAGAAGCCAGCGCGGCAACCAGCGCGAATGCAGAAGCGTACGAAGATACCCAAAGCAGGGCAGCGCAGGCAGTCCACAATAAGAGACTACACAATGTCATGGCTGCTCGGGAAGAACGGCGTCGTAGTCCACTGCTCGGGAGGGACGTTTTCGCATTCCATCCCTCAGACCTGCAGCCAGAAAATTATCCTGGCGAAGGACCCAACCGTATGAAGTTGTGGGTACCGCAATTGTGAATATCTTCTTCGGTGAAGCTCCCTATTGGGCCACGAAGCGCTGCGCTGGGCGGGGAGGAACGCATGCGGGCGGTAGCACTGGGGCCGTCGGTGACGCTCCCTATGAGGCCACGAAGCGCTGCACTGGGCGAGTGAAAATACCAAATTCGGCGCGTGGGACGCACGCGGGCGGTCCCATTGGGGGCTTCGGTGGAGCCCCCATGGGGCCGCGAAGCGTTGTAAAGGGTGGGCGAGAATGCCAAATTGGGTGTGGGGGACGCATGCGGGCAGCCCCACTAAGGGCTTCGGTGGGGCTCCCTATGGAGCCACGAAGCGCTGTACTGGGCCGGTGAAAATGTCAAATTGGGTGTGGGGGACGCAGACGCATGCGGGCGGTCCCACTGGAGGCGTCGGCGGAGCTCCCGGTGGGGGACGCATGCGGGCGGTCCCAATGGGGGCTTCGGTAGAGTTCCCTATGGGGCCACGAAGCGCTGTACTGGGCGGGTGAAAATGCCAAATAGGGCATGGTGGACGCATGCGGGCAGTCCCATTGGGGGCTTCGGTGGAGCTCCCTATGGGGCCCCGGAGCGCTGTACTGGGTGGGTGACAATGCCAAATCAGGTGTGGGGGACGCACGCGGAC